TAAATATGAGAGTAAAATGAATTATTCACCAAAAATGATAATTTTGGGAATAATTATTGAATTTTGTAGTATTAAAATAGACAATAAATTGGTTTTAATTTTTTTTTTAAAAAATTTGGAAAAATACAAAAACACTCGGGTATGTTCATATACGTATATATATGTTATTTTAAAAGTATTTTGAGTACAAAAATACCTAGGGAAAAAATGGGTATCAACAAGGTTTATAAGCAAACTTGGAAAAGAACTCATTATATATAGCAGGTGTGCCTATAGAATTCAAAGACAAAATGTTAGCAAAACTCCAGCTATCAGTAGGCAACATCCCATTCAAATACTTGGGAGTCCCTTTGTCCTCAAGGAAAATTACTATCCACCAGTGCATGCCATTAGTTGAAAAGATTGTGGAGATGATAAGAAGCTGGACATCAAAATTCTTGTCCTATGCTGGAAGAATACAATTCATCAAGAGTGTCTTGTTTGAAATGCAGACCTACTGGGCTCAACTATTCCTTATTTCAAAGAAAGTTATTAAACTTGTTAATGGTATATGCAGGAACTATTTGTGGACTGGTAGTCATGAAAATACTCACAGAGCTCCTATAGCATGAGAAATATTGTGTAAGCCAAAAGTTGCTGGGGGCCTAAACATTATCAACTATGAGAGATGGAACAAAGCTGCTTTGACTAAACTCCTCTGGGCTATAATGGCAAAGAAAGACAAGCTTTGGATTAGATGGATACACTGCCACTACATAAAGCAGAATGACATCAATACAATGGAGGTCCCAAAGCAGGCTAGTTGGCTAGTAAGGAAACTCTTTACAGCAAGAGAATGGTGGGATAATGACATAACAACAATTTCATCCTTTGTTCAGAATGGGAGATTCAGCATTCAGAAGGCTTATTTTCATGCTACTCCAAGTACCCCAAATTCCACTAGAAAGTACTAGTCATGTTGACTGGAATACTACCAAAGCAACAATTCATCTTATGGATGGCAATACAAAGAAGGCTGGCCACAGTTGACAGACTAGCAAAATGGGGAATTCAGGTGACTCGCTCTTGTGTACTGTGTGGAGGTGACATAGAAGAGACACATGATCACTTGTATTTCGAGTGTCCATATTAACAGAACTTATGGACAGGAATGCTAGAATGGTTAAGCTGCCAGAGAAAGGTTGAAAATTGGGAATATGAGGTGCAATGGTTAACCACCAATGTAAACAATAGAAATCCAAGGAAAACTTTGCTAGGAGTGGTGTTTGCAGCAGTAGTATATCACATCTGGATGGAGCGAAATGAAAGAAGATTTCATAATCAGAGAAGAGAGGTCAAAGATAGAGCAAAAGACATTGTCATGCAGGTGCACATAACAGGACAAAAGAAATGTAAATGGACACCAATATTAAGTACACTAAATAGTTATCCTAATTGTAATTCATAGCAAGTAGGATAGGAAAAAGACCCATGAGCGGTATGGGATCTTACTAATCAGCCTTGGTTGTATAGGTTTTTGTTTATTGGTTTCAGTCATGAGACCTGATACTAGAGTCCAAAGTACAGGTGATGTAAATTGAAAAACTGGTTGAAATAAAATTTTCTTTCGACAAAAGAAAAAGCAAAAAAATTCCGGAAGCACAAAAACGAATCAAAATTGACATACTAATGATTTCTAACTATTTGAAATAAAAAATTTTATTGAACAAAGTTCTAATTATAGTTAAAATTGGGATGAACTAATGTTAAGAATTTGATAAGAAAAATTAATTTATTTTCTTTAGTGTTGAGAATAAATAATTAAGTTTTTGAATTACTAATGCAAAAGAGTTCAAGTTAATAATTTTTTAAAATTCACTATATAAGTAAGTTTATTTGTCAAGTTGACAAAATTCTTTAAGGTATATAAACTAATTTTTGTAGGAAGAGCACTAATGGTGAAAGAAATTAAAAAAAGTCAATTTATGATATAAAGTTAAAAGTCAAATTGATAAAATAGGAATTTGAAGCAATAAAGATGAAATAGTAGAAGACCAAATATATTATAAATGAGTTATCATTTTTCCCTTACTTGCAATCAGTTATTCAGTCTGATAGGTGACAATGTCTCACTATATTGTTTTTTAAATTAAGTTAGTTGTTGTAAAATATTATTCAACATTAGTTATTCTTTAAACTTTATATTGTCATTATTAATATTTAGGAGGTATAATGTCAATTTTCATCCCAAATTTTTAGAAGACCAAAAGATTTAATTTTAATTTTGAAATGTTCATATAAGTCCTTTTTTAAATCATAAATAAGGTATTCGACAAACTTTTATGGTATATGATATCTTTATTTATTGAATTAGCTAAATGAGAACAATATTTATTATGTTCTTAAAAGTCCTTTAACTTTTATTTTATAATTTTATATAACTCAAATAAATTTTATTCAGTCACAATTCAAAAAGTGGTAAATATTTTAAAAAGATATTCTTGTTGGAAATACATATATACGAGCCATATAAAGCTCTAATTCATGGCTAAAAAAGAAAAACCGAATTTAAATTCAATCAACTATTTATGAAGATCTAATGATTTGAATTAATTTCCTTACGAAAATATGTTGGTGTAATTGTAATTTCTAACATTCGAATGTAGTAAATTTTATTTGACAGAAAGGTTAAAAAAAATACAATAAGTACATATTTGACTACCCGTAGGACTACAATCTGAAGTCAATTTACCTATTAATTTCATATTTAGAAACCTCTTTTCCTTTTTTTCGGTTTAAAACTTTCAATTATTTATACATGTATTGCTATTTCAATATTTTGTTTGTTCGTAAGCTTCCATGGTTAGTCATTAATTGTTGAATAGGCTTTTGAAAGTTATTTAGTTCTCTTTCCGATAGAATTTTACAGAAAATTTTGATTTTCTTCTATTATATTTTTGTATTTGATATTTATTTATCTAATAAATATAGTATTCATATGATTTTAGGACGATATTAGGAGGAATGAATTTTTTAATCTTTTAATTTTTTTTAATATGCGTGTATTTCATAGTTCCTGTAAATTTTTTACTGGCATGATAACATAATCCTATTAATTTATGATATATGCTTTAATTATTGATTTAAACTTCATGTTGCTTAGTATATTTATGTTCGTCGGTAACTTTATTAACATTTTTGAATATTTATTTATATATTGTTCTCATGCCTGTTTTGATTGTACAAACTTTTTTGAGATCAGAATAAGCAGACGAGTCAAAAGAAGAGAATAAAATAGCGAGAATAACCCTAAATTTTTTGAGATGACTCACATATTTGATATTTATCTATTCATTTTTTCTTATACAAAAACTCTAATTTTACATATTGTTTTCTAAATTTTTTCCCCCTTGAAATTACAACAATTGAAAATGTAATACAAGCTAAGGTTATTATATATGAAAATTATCACAAATATATCAATGCTAAATTGATAAGAAAAAAAATATAAAATCGGGATGAAGCACTTGTAGTCAAATATATTATTCTTGTACACATATTTATTTGACGCGATACACACGTGCAACACACGTACACTAAACTAGTACTATATTAAAAGCATGAAGGCCCTTAGCGAAATATCGTTTGTTTTTTTACCCTTTTAAAATAGAGTTCATATTGGACAAAATAGACATTTAAATATTTTACTAATATTTAGAGATTTGAAATCAACTAAAATTTTGGTGATTAAATCTTTCCTTATTTGAATTTAGTTGTAACTCCTAATATTTAGAAGTTTAAGGTCAATCAGAATTTACCTTATATAAATTATTTTGTTAATTGAACTATGTGCCATAACTTTAACATCACCTAATATATTTCTTTTAATGGAAACTCGAAATAGCCTAAAAAATTCTCACAACTAAACAATACAACGGGCTCATATCAGCAACAAAGGAAATAGATATTTAGTCTAATTTAGTATTTTTAAAATAAATTTTGCCGAACAAGTATCATTATTTAGAAGGAAATACAATAATAAACATTAAAGGAGGACGAACCTGTCCAACAAAAGCGGAAAATAACACAAATAAAGGTTTAAAATATAAAATAGTTAAAAACATTTGCACTCCTCAACTAAAAATAAAAATTTTCCTCTTTGAAAATAAAACATTCTTCCCTCATATGCAATATCGAATCCATTTTATCGTTGACATTTCCAGTACCTCTCTTTATGTAGTATTTTTGAATGACTTTTTATTCTTTTTACTTGGACGGCTTACCTATGATTTATTTTATTTTATTTTATTATAAATAATAATTTTAGTTCATTAAGATTATAAATGGAATAATTCTATTATGTTTGTAACAAAATCTACTGTTACTTTTTATGATTATTATTTTAAGTATGTTCTTAAGTCTCACCTTCTCTTATTCTCTAATGTGATTATCATTTTCTGAGTTATGATTATCATTAATAAAATATTTTTAAAATTAAATATAAAATTTATTGAAAGTAGAAATAGATAATCTTTTAATATTATTAGGTTATAAAAATAATAATTTTTCATAGATATTCCAACAAAGATTCTGAGAAATCAAAATAAGACATCTGACTGCTATCGTGGGCATAATTTCTTCCTATATTGAGGTACTTGAATAAATCAACANATATAATTTTTTAAGAATTTGTATACATTAGTATAGAATTCACGCGCAAAGCACGTACTATGAGACTAGTTTTATAAATGGCACCAAGAGTCCGTTTAATTTGTGTTTATACGTATAATATTTTAGTATGTATGTATGTGCGCGCACGCGTGGCGATTTACATTGGATAAAATGGTTTGTCCTGAGTTCCTAAAGTTGTGGTTATGAATGTCAATTTGTGCCAGCTTTGTTTTTCTTGCTCTGCCACAATTTGCTCATGTCAATTTTGCAATATTTAGAAATCTTTTATTCCCCACTAATAGCTAGCTCGACCACTAAAATTTGAAGAGAAAGACCAAGTGTTCAAGAAATTAAAATATAAAACAAATATATATATACCAACTTACGATACCATGATAAAGTTTGAATAACAATTTTAAGCGACCTCAAGTGACTTGATACTTTCCACAAATACATGAGTGGATTAATCATTAAGAAAATATCAGAAATACTCGTACAATATGAACATTCTCTTCAAGTTCCTAGCTTTGGTAAAATTTTCCACAAGGATAAGGGCAAGATATCTCTTGGAATTTACTACTCTCGACAAAGAACCACTCGGCAACTGCTTGAGCAATTTTCTGTACAATATATATAAATTATAGTAAGTAGTTAGTCTCACTAATCGTCAAAAGAATTATTGGGATAATTTTAGAAAAACAAAACGGGAAATGGACCTTATCAGCCAATGTTGGAGAGTTGGGGTAGAACCAGTAACTCGGTGTTTCAATGCCTTTGTGGGAATGGCAGGAGGTCATGAATTATCCACTTGGTGAAGTTGGTCTTATTCTATTTATAACTGTCCTTATAAATATTACCCTGAAATCTTAAAATAATAACTCAAGATCAACATCATCGGGGGGGGGGGGGGGGGTAGAGTTATAATTAAACTAAGAGAGGATTAATTCTCACCCTCTTATTATTTTATCACATGAATAAGGTTAAAAGAGAAATATATCAATTTGGTATTTACCTTGGAGAGTTTGGATTTGACTTGGTGAGCATACATTTACGTCTTTCTTGCAATATGTCCACTCATTATAAGGAACCAAACTGTTGTTTATCTAAATTTTTAAAGATCAATCAAAAAGGCAAATCCATTTATATATAATTAATCCTAAGGGAAATAAAAGAAATTAAAACAATTTGTTTATAATAAATAAATACTAATAACAGGAATATGTATTTCTAACCTGCCAAGAGTCATAGGCCGAATTAATAACGAAAAGTGGTGTCCAAATATGCTGTACTACATATTCAGGGAAGAAGCACTGCCATAATCATCATACTGTGTATTAGTAAGAAACATTATGCATTTACGATAAATAAATTAAAAAAATAAGCATCATTTAGTGACGCTGGTTTCTTCCAATATATCATTTCAGAATTTCGATTGTTAATACAATATATTTGTCATTCTGCTGAATTGAACAGGCCAATTTTATTCCACAAACAAATTGCTCGATCTTACCAAACTTGGGTCTAAGTAGGAGCTGGTGCAAGATCGTGGAAGGTTCTTTGTTGATCCCTAATTAAACCCCAAATAGAGAGACAAGAAATATACATATATATGTTATGTTTAGGAATTACAAAAAATAATGCAAAACAGAAAGTATTGAATTAGATATAAATGGAATAAAAGAAATTAGTAATCAAACGATGCATCTTACGTGCAATGTTGCAACTCTTTTATATAACTCTTCAATATGAGGTTCACCCAAAATAGTTTTTCTGCATAAACTCATAAAATTAAGAATCATAATAAGAATATTATACATAAAAAAAGTTACATTGGTTTCATGAATAAAACTTACATATTTAAAAAGAAACCAGCATCAGAAATGCATTTTACTCTAGCACTAGTGGAGAAAAAGCTTCTAAACTTGTCACAATGTAGTATTGAAGCTAATCCTCCAGGTGAAGTTCCACTCAAAATGGCCTAACATGAAATTATAAAAAGAAAGAAGAAATCAAGATTAATAGCATATTTGAACAATCTTCTAAAATCAACTTATTATAACATATTCGATGCTGGCATATAAGTTGACGTTAATAGAATATTTAATTTGCGATAAAAAAGCTCTATTTCCGAACAAATCAATTTGAGGAAATACGTACATTTTCAGCTTTCCACATTCCTTTGTATAATAAATCCTCCATGATGGCAAGGAAAACTCTTGCCCCTCTGAAGTGGAGTCCAGTAACCTAGTTAATAAAAAATTTGTCATTTTCAACATAGAAAAATTACTTAAAAAAAACATATTTTGTAGTTTTATTATAAAAAAATATTCTCACTTACTGGGTCAACTTCTTCAATATCACCAGTAAAAGATGACCCATCGCAATACTTAACCTTTACTCTATTCCAATTAAAAAAGTCTGAAAATTTTGGCAATTGCATTTTTATTAGTTAGGAGTTCAACAAAATATATATTTCGACGTGAAACAAAATAAAAGGAAAAAAAATGCATGTAACCTAATAACCACCTGGATTTTCGTTAGGCTCGTTGCTTAATATTCCCTTAAAAGAATATTGATCATCCATGGGTATTAATGATCCCAATGCGGAAGCAGCACGTGCGATACACTCTGAGATCGTAGAACACCATCCCCCGCCCTAATATTGATAACGTGATAAAAATGATAGTTGGCCGACCAAATCAGGTTAAAATACAAGAATTGTGTGAAAGTTTTACACCATATGTATATATAATTTAAATCCCTAAAAAATCATGAAGAGTTTAACTCTAACACCAATGTGAACAAGCCAATTATTAACTCCATAGCCACTTCCCCTATCAAGCAGGTATGCAGGAGCATTTCCGTCCAAACAAACTGAAATTATTACCATTCAAAAGAGTAAAATAATATTAATTAGTATTAGTTTTATTTTTTCAAAAATCAAATTTGATTACTGAATTAAATCCTTACCGGCTCCCTTTTCAACAGCATTGTGAAGTATAGTCGTGTTGACTAATAAAAATTCTGCAGTGACTTGAGAAAGAGTCAAAAGAAGTACTACCAAAAGCAACATCTTGCTCTGATGTGATTTTTTTTTTCCAGCTCGTTTAATTAATAAGCTATATATGTTATGAGGGGTTCTGAAATCTTTTTAATCTATGAAAAAAAGTTTCAACACCTTTGACTATATATAAAGAGCTTTCAGAATGAGTTCAGTAAATGTTCTAAAACAAGCCGCATGGGTTTCTTGAAAAATAATGCACTGGCCCATAACGATATTAACTACCTATAAATACAGTAAATTTTTATTGCAGACAGGATTTTGTGAGTACTATCTAACTGGCCAACCCTTTTGTGTATTAGGTAAAATCAGGGACAGAGTTACCCCCGATTTTCTGTTGAAGAAACGAGGTACAACGTTATTCGTTACTAGCTCGAATGAGACCGAAGGTGCCCATGGATCAGAACCGGGGGCAGTCGAATAATACGTCGGGAACCTAGCATGGCCGAACCCGGAAAAAATCAAGCTCGAACGAAACAAAGAATCGAGGGTAAAGGAAAGACAATTAAAGAGGGAGAACGGGGAGCCGAAATATCCGCCATCATCCGGATATTGTGGCACGAATCACGTTCAGTATTAACTTGGGATCATGTTTTTTTGGAAAAAAAAGGAAGGGAAGGATATTTACCTTATTTATACTTGTATTAAGGTTAAAATTCCTCTACTATATAAAGAGAGAAATATTTTTATTTTTGACTCACTGTTGGCATGCATATCAAAGTAATAAAGTTTAATTTTAGCTTATAGAAATTGTTCAAGTGTTCTTCCGCTGTTTATCTACTTGGTTGTAACTAAGCTCTACCCTGAGGGCTCGATTAGAACCGGTCTTTACCATTCAAAGTTAACACCAGGATAATTAGTTATTCGTAATGTTTGATTTGATTGTTTTATCTCCTTTTAATCAATTACTTATTGTTCTTTGATCATTCGTGTTAAATTAAATCACGTATCCTACAAATCGCGTACAAATTTAATTATTTTTTGTTTTACGAGTAAAGAGTTTGGCGCCCACCGTGGCTAAGGATAATAGTGGTGATTTAATATGAATCTTTATAACACACTCTATTTTATACTTGTTCTTCGAAGTTTGATTTCAGGACTATTCAATATGTCGAACTCCCAATCTGCTCACTTAAGTATCGACGCCGAATTAGGCCACCACGGTAAAAATAACAATGTGGTGCCAAGCAACAACGTATCCCCTGTCGACCCTAATGGCGTTTCGATCACTGACCCAGTCGATGCCAATTCATAGGTTGCTATCAACATCAACTTACCAACTGATCCCGATGACAACATTCACGGGGCACCTCAGCCATCGGCTCGCGAGGCACCCGAAAGGGGAGGTGATGGACTTAGCTTACGTTTGATTTTTGAGATGTTGCAAGCTAAGCACGTTGCCATAGCACAAATGTTGAATAAAAATCACGCACACAACGTGGCTGAACCCAAACGGGTAGGAGAAGGCACTGGAAGGGAAGAACGGATTGTCACAAAACCCGACGGGTCAGGACCCAGGGAAGCTTTCGAGGTGATGAAAATGCTCGAGGTACTGGCAAAGCAAGTGGAATCCGGCTAAAAGAAGATAGAGGTGAATGAAAAGAAAGTGGAAACTTACAACTCGAGGGTCGAGAAGATCCCAAGAGCACCTCCAATATTGAAGGGACCAGATTCCAAAAGGTTCTTTCAGAAACTATTCCCCAGAGTGCGGCACCAAAGCCAATTCCGAAAAGGTTCCAAATGCCCGATATTCCAAAATTGTCACGACCCAAACTCCAACTAGTCGTGATGGCACCTAACCCAACACGCTAGGTAAGACAATTAATAACGATCCAATTCCAATAAAATTTAATAAGACAAATAAGTAAAAGAAAATATCTGAATCTTATAAATTTTCCAAGGACTGGTAGTACAAATCATGAGCGTCTAAGATTTAGAATTTATAAAGCTGGTATGAAATAAGGTACATCATCTATTTGAAATATACATGAATAGATCTTTCATAAGTCTAGAGCTACCATGAACAAGAGACAGCTATAACCGGAACGCAGGTACATCTTCAAATCCAGCTCCCGTCGAACATAGCAACATCAATATCCAACATCTGCACGCAAGGTGCAGAAGTGTAGAATGAGTACAACCGACCCCATGTATTCAATAAGTAACAAATTTAAACTTAGGTTGAAAGTAGTGACGAGCTGGAACTTAGGTCGAAGTCCAACACCAATAGCCAATAACAATTCATAATAACATAATGAAAGAAATAAAAGATGTACTCAGAGATAAAATGCTCGGCTCGTTCATAATTCCAGAAAATAGGTCTACTTTTCAAGTAAATCAGTGAAAATATAAATCTTTTACTAAAATCGCCAAAAACATGAGTAGGTTTGAAATATATAAATTTTCCCAAAAAGCTTTCAACAGGTAAATGTTACATTTCAAATGGCATGAAGAGAATACATCTTTTTTCCTATATGTCAAGTGTGTATGTCAAATGCGATGCGACTTAGTGATAAAATCATATGCATACTCTTATAGTATCAATTCACTTAGTCCTCCCAATCATTCAATCCTCACAGTTACTCAGTCCTCACAACCACTCCATCCTCACAGTCACTCAATCATCCAAATCACTCGGCACTTGGCACTCGCACTTAGTAGGTACCTGCACTCACTGGGGTGTGTACAGACTTCGGAGGGGCTCTTTCTTCCCAAGCGCTATAACAAGTCAATCATGGTATAAATCAATAGAACACGTTGGGGCGTGCAACTTGATCCCATAAACATTCTCCCCATCAAGCCCTCGGTCTCACTCAGTCATCAATCTCTCCAGTCTCTTGGGCTCTTAGTGTCATGAAAAATAAGCCAAAAAAAATGATGTGATTGGTAACAGACACTGAGATATGATATGCATATGAATGCGTATGACTGAGTATGTAATGCAATGAAAATGGATAACTCAACCGCAAAAATAGCTTCAGTGGGTCCCAACAGGATAAGTATGTAACTTAGTCATGGTTTCTAACATGGATCACAACTCAATAGCTCAAGTACGTAGAAATTTCATGGTTACAGGTAAGATCAGGTAACTACACAGTACCACAGAAATAACGGGGTAACAATTCACCCAGTGCACGCCCACACGCCCGTCACCTAGCATGTGCGTACCCTCAACTCCAATCATATAACACGTAATTCAGGGTTTCATACCCTCAACACCATGTTTAGAAGTGTTACTTACCTCTAACAAGCCAAATCCAATACCAAGCAAGCCAAACAATACTCCACAAATTCCATCTCGCACGTACCGACCTCTAAATAGCTCAAAACTAACACAAAGAAAGTCAAATATATCAAATAATGCGAATGGAAGCAAACCCAATCAATAAAGATCGAATCTTTAATCAAAAGCCCAAAATCGGCCAAAAAGTCAAAACCCGAGCACGCGCCTCGAAACCCGACAATACTCACAAAATCCGACAACCCACTCAATTACATGTCCAACCATACTAATTCACTCAAATCCGACTCCAAATTGACGTTTGAAACTCAAAAATTCATATTATAAAACTTTAGGCAAAACCCCTAGTTTTCTCTTTAAATTCATAAACCTATTACCAAAAACGTAGATAGATTTACAAAATATAACCAAACCAAGTAGAGAGCACTTACCTAATTCATATGGTAAAAATCGCCTAAAATCCCTATTCCGAGCTCCCCAACTCAAAATATGTTAAATAAACAAAACTCTCATTTTAACACTATTCTACCTCGTTTCTTATGCCAAATAATCTCAAAAGTTTTGATGCCTCCAATGGATTTCTTGTGAAATTCTAGTCAAGTTAGGCTCTTGAATCACTCCATTTGATCTTATATTGAAGGAGATATGTTGGTTTCAATATTTGTGAATAGCGCAGATTTTTAAATATGAAGTCAATGGAAATTTCGTAATTAATCTAAAAAATTTGGCAACCCAATTCTTAGTAAAATGACCATAAACTCCTCATACAATGTCCAAATTTGATGATTCTTTTTGCTATGGCTCTGTAATTATGATACATATCTAATGCTTCAATCAAAATAGAAATTGGAGCTCATTTGTTCAATGTGGTACAATTTATGTTTGAAGAAACGACATCGAAACATAAGAAAAACGAGCGCAACACAACCCAAACCTATCCAAAACTCACCTGACCCCCTCGGAACCCCGTACGAACATGTCAACAAGTACCATAACATAACACGGACCTATTTGAGGCCTCAAATCATGTATAACAATATCAAAACGACGAAACGCACCTCAAATCAAACTTAATAAACTTTAAACTTCCAAAAACTCGCGCCAAGACATATCAAATCAACTCGAAATGAACTCAAATTTTGCACACAAGTCCTAATACACCATACGGAGCTATTCGTGCCCCCAAACTATTGGAAGTGTAAATTCTCAAAATAACCGGTCGGGTCGTTACATTCTCTCCCACTTAAACATACGTTTGTCCTCAAACGTGTCAAGAGTTGTTCCTAAGCCGTCAAACTGCCGTGTAATCTTACCATGCACATACCCGGGGGTGATCCCCACGTCACCCTATTCCATATAGGTCCTACAACACAACATACTGATGATCATTACTTCAACCTTAGCCCGTAATCCACATAATCCAAAACCCAACATCCAGAATTTTCTACAAGACCCAAACCTTGCAATCTACACATTGTATGTCTGAACAAGCTGTACCAAGCCATAACCATAACCCAAGACATAATCATAGGATATACCACATAACTCAAATACCCATAGCAAAATTTTCGATCACAGTAGCTGCTCAAAACAACCCAATTTCGGTAATAAACCGCATATCAAACAAAACCTAGTTCTAAAACCTTTGTACACTGCAAATGATGAACGAAACACGCAAAACTCATACCCATTCATCAGATCAATAAGTCATGGAACTCCCTCTCCTTTGACAAGAACTATAGCGATTTCTAAGCCGACTTCCGATATTATCCTTCCAAATATACCGCAATCAAATGCGATAGCAACCCTCCTAGATTCGAAGACCTCATCTTATAA